CCGCGGGTAGTGACACACCCTCTACTTCTCCCTCTGCTCCTTCCTTCTCTTGCCCTTCCCCTCTTCCCCCTCCTCTTCCTCCTTCCTTTCTCTTAAGCCTCCACTCTTCCCCCTCTCCTCTTCCCCCCCTCCTTCCTCCTCCCCCCTCTTTTCTTCCTTCCTCCCCCTCTTCCTTCCTCCCCCTCTTCCTTCCTCCCCCTCTTCCTTCCTCCCCCTCCTCCCCCCCTCTCCTTCCTCCTCCCCCTCTTCCTTCCTCCTCCCCCTCTTCCTTCCTCCTCCCCCTCTTCCTTCCTCCTCCCCCTCTTCCTTCCTCCTCCCCCTCTTCCTTCCTCCTCCCCCTCTTCCTTCCTCCTCCCCCTCCTGCTTCCTCCTTCCTTTCCTTCCTCTGCTTCCTCCCCTTCCTCCTCCTCCTCCTCCCTTCCTTCTCCTCGCGCTGAAATGAAAACACTATATTGTGACATTCAAGAATGGCGTTGCCCACCATAAGCGATTGATGATTTATTTTTAAGGCTTAAGAGCTGGAGCTCGATTCTTCAAGCACATCTAGGTGAGTGTGTTACACCTGAGTGGAGTGAGTGTCTCACCCGAGTGTGTCTCTCTCTTTCTCTCTCGCGCGCGCTCTCGCATTCATTGGTGGGTCTTCCCGCCAATGACAGCACGAGTCTTGGGGTTCTGATATGAACATGGATAGGTGGTTGACCATTACTCACGACCTCCCTCATCCTCCCTCTCTCTCTTCCCTAACCCCCTCACTCCCTCTTCCCTAACCCCCCCCTTTTTTTTTTTTTTTTTTTTTTTTTGGAGTAAAGAGGAAGGAGAGGCATAGGTGAAGGGAAGTATAGAAGTGGGAAATACAGTGAGAGGTATGAAAGCAGGCGGGCTGTCCGCCTTGCTGACACGATGTGTGGGTGTTGGCAGCTAAGCTAAGCTGGCTCCCTCTTGTCAGGGAGCTGTGAGTGTGTGAGAGGTTCTTCACATGTGTTTCACCATATATGGATGTCCATAGATGAATACTGTGAAGCATTCATATATAGACACTCCGATGCTTCCACACACGGTATTCTGTTTAATGCTCTTTATTTTATTATTATTATTTATCGAGTTGTCATACATATTATTTATCGAGTTGTTCATACATACACATATATGAACTGTTCATATATATACATATATAACTCATCTTGGGATTATATACTGTGGGGCGGGGTTTTCGTCCAGAGAATCGAGGCTCTTGGGCCACCAGCTGTGGGAGCGGGGCGTCTCATCTTGGAGTAATCTTTCAAACATTGGGTCCTCTAACATTTCGATGGTGTTCCATACCCTGATGGCTTGGTGCTGCAGTCTGATGTTTAGTGGCTGTATGTTCAGGAGTTCGTGGAGCTCCTGGATTGTCTGATCATATGGTGGACGGTGTTTTGCTGCTCTCCTTAGCGCCTTATTTTGTACTGCTTGCAGTTTCTGCATGTTAGTTTTCTTTATGGTGTGTAGTGGTACTGGGGGATATTCTAGATGCGGCCGAACTAGAGCCTTATATAGGTGGATCTGAATGTTAGTACTGAGGCTTCGGAATCTTCTCAGTTTTCCTAATGCTGCTTTGGCTTTGTTTAGTCGGTCCCTTACATGAATTTGTATCCCTGTTCTATTTATCATAAGTCCCAGTATTCTGCCTACCTCCGCATATTGGATGGGCTGGTTATCAAGGATGATGGGGTCAGGGTTTCTTTTCGCAATGTGTATTATTTGGAACTTTTGTTTGTTGGTGCTAATTTTCCATTGCTTCTCAAAGTTGTTTAAGTTAAAGTTAACCCCCCCCACTCCCTCTTCCCTAACCCCCCCCACTCCCTCTTCCCTAACCCCCCCCCACTCCCTCTTCCCTAACCCCCCCCCTCTCCCTCTTCCCTAACCCCCCCCCCTCTCCCTCTTCCCTAACCCCCCTCTCTCTCTTCCCTACCCCCCCCCACTCCGTCTTCCCTAAACCCCCCCACTCCGTCTTCCCTAACCCCCCCCACTCCGTCTTCCCTAACCCCCCCTCTCTCTCTTTCCTAACCCCCCCTCTCTCTCTTATCTAACTCCCCCTCTCTCTCTCTTCCCTAACCCCCCCTCTCTCTCTTCCCTAACCCCCCCTCTCTCTCTTCCCTAACCCCCCCACTCCCTCTTCCCTACCCCCCCACTCCCTCTTCCCTACCCCCCCCCCACTCCCTCTTCCCTAACCCCCCTCCCACTCCCTCTTCCCTAACCCCCCCCCCACTCCCTCTTCCCTAACCCCCCTCCCACTCCCTCTTCCCTAACCCCCCTGCTAACCCAGCTGTTACCGTTGTTAGAGCTGCTTCTGTTGCTGGCTCAGTTACTGTTGATTGTGTTGGTTCCATTTTTGGTATGTAAAACTGCTTCTGTTGGTGGTGGTGTGTTTCTTGCTGTTGTTCTCCAAGGTGGGTGTTGCTGGGGCTGTCTTTGTTCATGTTTGTGTTGATGGGGTTGTATTTGTTCTTGTTTGTGTTGCTGGGGTTGTATTTGTTCCTTTTTGTGTTGCTGGGGCTGTCTTTGTTCTTGTTTGTGTTGCTGGGGCTGTCTTTGTTCATGTTTGTGTTGCTGGGGCTGTCTTTGTTCATGTTTGTGTTGCTGGGGCTGTCTTTGTTCATGTTTGTGTTGCTGGGGCTGTCTTTGTTCTTGTTTGTGTTGCTGGGGGCTGTCTTTGTTCTTGTTTGCTGTTGTTCATGTTCTTGTTATTTGTGGTACGGCTGTTTATGTCCCTCGTAATAACTTGGACATAAATATTCTATTAATTAAACCCATAAACCAATAACATTACATCAGGACAATAAAATTTGCATATAAAAATGGCAACATATCGCTGACGACAGTTTAATTGGACAGTAAACCTATAACCACTTACCAATCTTTTGAACGGGTTTCCAACTGTATGCTGATTGGGCCCCCACATTGCGAAAATCTCGATGGTGATTGGCTGGCACGAGGAAAACGCCCCTCCCCCCCCCCCCGTCATGCAGTGATTAGGAATAACTTACTAATCTTGCAAGGTATAGCATAGATTGGTAGATACAAGGAAACTGCAAACTCGTTGAAATAACGCGAGAGAGAAAGGACCACTGGAACATAAGCAGCATTGATCTCATACTTGGCACCAGAAAAGCATTCAGTTGGCTGCATGCAACCTACGTGAGACCCATCGTAGAATATGCAGCCCATATGAGGAACAGTCACCTTAAAAAAAAGGCTCAATGCAAAATTTGAATGAATACATAAATATACAGCAAGATGTCCCTTTTATATATATATATATATATATATATATATATATATATATATATATATATATATATATATATATATATATATATATATGTGTGTGTGTGTGTATATCACGAAAATAAACACGTGATTAAGAATGTGACAATGTCAGACCACGGAGGAAAATGAAACAGGAATTTCCTTAAGTACTTTCGTATATTAAATACATCTTCAGAAGGAATGATTTTACAGATCGAGTGATGGGTATAAATAGGCAGGAGAGAGTGGTGAAGTGAGGTGAGGTACAATACTTGGACAACGCAGACGGCCCATTGGCCCAACAGATGCACCGAATTGGCCCATCCGATGTAGCCCAATGGCCCATCTGATACAACAGACATACAAGCATAATACATAGGTAATTATAACATAAAGAGGTAAATATATACAATGGATTAGTGAGACAAATGTTTTTCAATGATCCTACTTAAATCGCCCTATAGCTGATCTATTAGAAATGGATCTAAGTTATATAGACCACTGCTAATATTCAAATTACTTTGGTGATCTGTATCAAAGCAGATTCAATTATGTTTCTGTTATAGGTGCTTTTACAATTTGTTATTGAAGAAGCACTCTCCCAATCAAAAAGCTCACCAAATTGATTTTGGTGGGCCCAGACACCACTGGTGTCTGGGCCCCCAGGCACCAGTGGTGGGCCCCAGACACCAGTGGTGGGGCCCCGGGCACCAGTGGTGGGGCCCAGGCACCAGTGGTGGGCCTGGCATTACCCAACTGCCCGGTAAAGAGCCAGTCACCTTCCCTCCAGTGTTTCCCAGGACTGTTAACTTGGCTTAGATTACGCGAATTTAATTCCCAGTAAACAGGATAAAACTCTGGATAATCTTGGACAATTTGCGTGAAGTTGGGTTAGCGTGGGATGCCAGCCAGCCCATTACGCTTGCATTACAATGTTAATTACTGCAGTTTATGTAACAACCCGAAATTGTTTTGCGAAAATTGCTATATTAATTTTGGTAATTGTAGATGGAGGTCAGGGGTGGTGGGGGGGGGAGGGGGGTGTTCAGTTGTTACTCGTCTTGTTGAGCTTCAGGTCTTGGTCCCGGTTATTATCTGTCAGTCAACGGGTGGTCCGGTTCCTGAGGCAACTGGGGTCTGTCATATTTACATCTGAAAGTGTTTTATGGAGTCTGCCTCCACCACAGTCTGTGTGTGTGTGTGTGTGTGTGTGTGTGTGTGTGTGTGTGTGTGTGTGTGTGTGTGTGTGTGTGTGTGTGTGTGTGTGTGTGTGAAACATACGAGATTTGAAGGATTGAGGTGAAGGTCATGATTTGTTCTTTGGTTATTTCTCGCATCTACTCTTGAATATCTCTATGCTCTTCGCCCACACCACTTCGCTCTGTAGAGTTCCAAACAGCCGCAACTCTGCTAGAAAAGGAAGCCCTCATATTCCTCCTGCAAATTTGTGTAGAGTATGTTATAGAGTATTTGTGTTTGCTAAGTTCATGTTCTCTGACTCTGCTTGTTTCCAGCTAAATTATATTTCCTCTGTATATTTTTATATCTATTTGATGCCATTCAAGATAATTATTATATATATTTTACCCTTTTTCGGTATTCGAAAGAGGTCAATTCTCGCTTGTTCAATCATTGCATATAGTTCATGTTTTATACAGTTTCTGTATTCAATATTTAGTATGTGAGTTGTAACTCGTCTTTCTTCCTCACAGATGCGTGCATGAAGAACATCTTGATGTGACTCCGTGTCTCAAGTACTCCTCAGACTCAGCGAGTAGTCAAGCGTCGAGACTTTAGTGACCAAGTTGTTTATCAGTTCTTCTTCTCATCCGTGAAGACATAGTGAGTATATGTAATTTGACATTGTTGTCCATTTGGGTTAGCTGTTAGGTTGGCTAAGCACACATTAGGATTATGTAAGGTGCTGTTCCGTACCTGCTGCAGTTGCGTGCAGTTGATGATGTTCCGTACCTGCTGCAGTTGCGTGCAGTTGATGATGTTGCGTACCTGCTTTAGTAACACCGTGCAGGTGTCTGTCAGGAAGGGAGAGCTGAACAGGAAACTGTGACTCCTAATCCAACTCTCTTGGAAATGGGTTCGATGGTTCAATGAGGTTTGGAACCTATGTGCTGGTTGTTTCCAGACGCGCATTAGTCAGGGATTAGTGTTGGTAGTAATTCTTACCATTAGTGTTGGTACTAATTAGGGTCAGTGAATATGCAGATGAGATCGATTTGCTTGGACTCGGTAATGTTCCATTGCGTCTGGATTTTGTGGGTGATTAGCTTGTCGGATTATGGTTGAGAGGGGTTATGAGCTCTTGTGTATTTGATTTACATTGCGTCTGTTGTTGATTGGCATTTTATTTTGCAGTTTATTTGTTCCCTTTTATATAAAAATCATTTTTTAAATTATATATAAATGCTTTTGTTATTTTCTCTATACCTTTTTTTTACATGTTTTGTTCATTCAGTTTTCCATTTCAATGTTGTTTTGTTTTCCATTTTGATTGGTGTTTGTTCTATAATATTTCATTTGCCTGATATTTGTTTTCCCTATTTAGAGAAGCGTTCCATCATATTCGCGTTTACAGATTGACAGGGAAACTATACAACAAATTGAGTTATTTTTGTATGCTAAATGTGAGCTTTCTTTGATGTCTTGTCAAGGTGGTGTCTTGTGTTCCATATTTACTCTTGCAAACTGCTGTGTGTATTTTAATGTTGTATTTCTTGGGAAGCTTGATTGCAGAGTATTTAGATTTAGTAGTTGTTATAAGGCACAACCAGCAACAATAATGACTTGTCAAGCTGACCGCCATCTTGCATATGTATCTAGATGTGTTGTGTGTGTAAAATACACATTCACTCGGGGTTGAATGATGTGATGCCACACAGATTATCAGTAGTTTACCATGACTGTGTCTGTAAAGTCGTCATTCTCCTTTTGCCGGTGTGTTGCGAGGTGAGTAAATCTCTAGCTGATCAACGATCACATGAAGATTGATTATTGTGGCATTGTTTGAATATAGCACTTAGAGAATTGCCGGCCTCGTCCACTCACATCTTGACTCATTCATACAGCTTGCAGGGCTGATCGTTTGGTCCTTACAATAGTTTGTCTTGTAGAAATTGTTCAACGGCCGCATGGGGTAACTAGTATATCATGCACGACGGTAGAGTGATTGTCTTGCTTCTGCAGGTCGGCGTTCAATCCCCGACTGGCCAAGTGGTTGGTTGGGCACCATTTCTTTTCCCCCTGTCCCATCCAAAATCTTTATCCCTTCCCACTGCTATATGGTCGTAATGGCTGGGTGCTTTCTCCTGATAGTTCCCTTCCCTTTGTCACCTTTCTGTATATTTAACTATATCATTAACTTAGACACTGTACGATTCTCACTTCTCACAGGCCTTTTGCACCTGGATGTATCCTGGTGGTATCTCTGTAACTTTGCCTAAGGACTTGGATAATGTGTTTCTGTTAGTGGCCAGTAAGAAAACCATGTTTCTTATGGCTGGAAGTGTTTGTCTGGAAGTGCTTGGCCCAGTCATGGAAGTAGGCAGGCTTTATCCAGCTCCAGCCTTTGTCTATGAGATTAGGCATTCGGTGATGATCTCTTTGGCAGCATCTAGAACATATTGGCATGTCTTGGGCTCATCCGTGGTCACGTGATGTCATGTCACTGGTCCTTCGAGTCGACTATTACAGGTGACTTGAGCTCTAATCTCCCGTGTAATGGCTGGAGAGAAATTTACCAGCAAGCACCACCCAAGATGACTAGTACTCACCTAGTTATGTTTGTGGGGGTTTAGCTCTGGCTCTTTGGTCCCGCCTCTCAAATGTCAATCAACTGGAGTACAGATTCCTGAGCCTACTGGGCTTTGTCATATCTACATTTGAAACTGTGTATGGAGTCTGCCTCCACCACATCACTGCCTAATGCATTGCATCTGTTAACTACTCTGACACTAAAAAAGTTATTTCTAACGTCCCTGTGGCTCATTTGGGTACTCAGTCTCGACCCGTGTCCCCCTGGTTTGCATACCACCCCATGTTAAACAGTTTATCTACCCTGTCAATCTACCTGCTAGGGAGCCGGTCGGCTGAGCGGACAGCACGCTGGACTTGTGATCCTGTGGTCCCGGGTTCGATCCCGGGCGCCGGCGAGAAACAATGGGCAGAGTTTCTTTCACCCTATGCCCCTGTTACCTAGCAGTAAAATAGGTACCTGGGTGTTAGTCAGCTGTCACGGGCTGCTTCCTGGGGGTGGAGGCCTGGTCGAGGACTGGGCCGCGGGACACTAAAAGCCCCGAAATCATCTCAAGATAACCTCAAGATCTCAAGATAACCAAGTGTCATGGTTTTTAGAATGTTTTATAGGTTTCTTATGTTGTCTTGTGTTCTCTTGTGAGTGTCTATAATCATCCCATCATTCTTTATTACATGCTACTGTACATGTGGCTACTGAGCTGTTGTAAGTGTTTGAGAGATCTTGTTTCCTTGTAAGTGTACCAGATCTTGGGGGCTATTTCATCATGTGTCTTGTTATCTTACAAGTCAATGTATATATGATTTATGCATTAAGGTTAAGAATCTTCATCCGAGCCTCAAATTCTTTCCAACTAATATCAGTTAAATTTGAAATTCCCCATTATTAATATTAAATGAAATGTCGTCTATCCACTTGCTGCATCCGTTTTTGAGTATTGATTTTTTGTATATTTTCAGTTTAGATTCCACATGCGGTCTTGTACAGTCTGTGGTGTTTTCTTCCCATGAACTTTTAATATACGTAGCGATGCTCTTTATTCATTTTGCCTTCACTATTTGACTATCGCGTGAGTTAAGTTCTTTTTTCCATGATCTTAGTCAATAGTTTCCAAATCGTGATTAGTAGAAACCTAATATTGTGAAGAGATTTTTTATACCAACAATGCCTAGAGCTGCTCATGACACACTTGGTTACAGAGATGGCTTTGTGCTACACAATCTTGGTTACACAACATGCACGGGAATACATGGAAAATCTGTAAACGTGCATGAGGTTTGGAAGCACAAACAGGAGAGGCAAGCAGTGAAAATGTGTGTGTACACATGATGTATAGAGTGCAACGTTAGCTTGTGTGTCGTTGACTGCTTCATTGAATATCACACACTGTATTTTATGCATTACATCACACACACTTACATAATATGGTGTTAGAGTGAAAATTGAACGAATAATATTGTGAAAATAAATATTTGTAGTGGACACATTAGTGACACGTGTATCATAATTATGTGGAATATTTTGCACATTCTACACGTCATGGGGTTGTCATATATTAAGATTGTCATGTACTGGATGTTCTGTGGGGAGCCTTTGAAAGGGTTCCCAATTTTCCGTCATTTCATTCATAAACAAAACTAGTACACACTTTTAGTTGGGCCAGCATTACTGATCATCAGCTCTTGGGCCCCTACCTTGCCGAGAGGTGATCGTACAATACATAAACTCTCGACTCTCCTACTTTACATCATAACTTTTGATCCAATCTCGTTCCCACGGACATCATAAGGATTTCTTTCCCCCCTTAGGTATTAGGACTAAGATGTTTTGGTGCGTGGAATTTTGCTCTCTCTGGTTTCATATGAATCTGTTGATGGACAGTGACCAATTGCATTGGGTGTGACTCTAGTGAGTCAAGGTGAAGTGAGGAACCCAACCCAGAGATGAGGAGGTACTTCACTTGTACAATACTTATGATCACCTTGTTAGTAGGGAAAAAGATGACTACAACCAACCTTCCCCCCACCCTTTATCAGGGCAACATTTGCAAAATTGCATGTACACTAGAAATATTGTGTGGAGCATTGGATTGTTGTAAATAACATGCATTAGGCTTAAGATGAGTGGGTTGAGTGGAAGAAAGTCACGTGGGTAGATGGCAAAGGGTCAGTGGGGTCAACATTCGTGGTGTCCGGGGCCCGATTGAACGTAAAAGCCTTATGGTAATATTGTAAAGAGTACTTTTGTTATCCCAATGCATTCTGGACAAAGTACTGGAAGATGATGTGCTTTGTTATATTTCGTGCGGAGATATTTACTATTTTTTGTGAGTTGCAAAGATCTAGTCTTACTTTTCGGGAAAGTGTCAGAGGCCTCACTCTTGACGAGATAAATAACAAGATGTACGAGGGTGGTGGTGGTGGTGTTTTAGAATCAGCTACTCGGAACTAAATGTCCACGTAGCACGGACTATGGTGAGCCCATAATTGAGTTAGGTTATGCACAATACCCTTGTTACTGTGATATGTGTCAAAGTTTTAAATGAAGGTTGGGTTTGCTTCTTTTTGCACTTGTTTAATCTTTTGTTTTAATAACGTGATCTTGTTGGTGCATATAGATGCACAATGTTTAGTCGTGTGTCCCATTATTCCACTGCATTTTTAACCATTGTAGTCGCTGTGGATTTTGGTTTTAATGCAGCTCTTGTTGGTGGAATGTTGAGTTTGATGTTCAGGCCTTCAGTTGCTTCACATTCCAGTAGGTAATGCAATAGCGGCATTAATACATCTGTTCCACAGATATGACACGTTACATATTGGGTTTATTATGTCCCAGCAGCACTTGCAGTCAACTTTGAGTCTGTGTGGCTACTGCAATGTCTCTGGATAGGTTTTCCCAGGCTTGAACAAGGATTACCCAGTGGTTTTCGTGCCACATCCTAGTGGGTCTTCCACTACTTTGGCTGTGTGGCTGCTTTCGATACATGGGAGTATTTCCTCCTTGATTTGCTTCTTAATCTGTGAGAAGCTTTGAGGTATTTTTACCTGTACAGCAGTTAAAGAAGTGGCACTTT